GGTTACGGAGTATAGGAATGGAGTGACATGCTCTGACACTGGCAGCGGAGCCAGACTGCCAAGGTCACTGACACGATTTGCCCTGCTTAGGGGCACTTGTCAGAGCTGCAGAAAGATGGCGATTGGTGCTCTCCCCCAGGGCAGACTAAGTGGAGAGGCCTCGCACCCAGCAGCATACAGGGCAAACTGCCGGGCACCCTCCCTGTGTCGGGCGCTTGGTCATAGACTGAGGATTCGACAGCTCAGTCTGCCCTTTAGGATGCCGTGAGGCCCCAGTTAGAGCTAAAAATCAGGTGCCCGCCTAAAATCGCCTAATTAGAGAACCGCCTCTATTGAGCAGGATATGCTTTATACCAAACAACTTGAGGGCTACAATCGCTCCAGATGGACAAAGATATATCATAAAAGCACATTAAATTTGGAGACCTGTGCTACTAGCCAGACCATAAATAATCCTCACCACTGTAAGCCATAGTATACCCTTCAGTGATTAATTTCTACTTGCCATGGCTAAATTTTGGCTTGCCAATTGCTAGTAGCATGTGGAAATGTTGAGCCCTCATCTAAATGATATTTTTATATGTAAAAAGAGCTTTGAGTCCTGGAGTAAGTACGCTTGTTTGGTTTTAATGTACATGGATTCCATTGACACATGGAATTCTAGGATACGTGCTGCTTCCAATATCGCCTTGGCCATCAAACTGAGGCTTTGCATGTCTTATCAAGTTTCATTTTAAATGGTAATTCTAAATAGTTAGAAAAACTTAAGGGAATTAAAGGCTCATGTCAATTACACTAATGATGTACCAGACAAGGCTAATTCATAAACCATTTCAGGATCATGTAAATCTAAGACAGTAATTAACTGTAAGCCAATTCTTCAATGCATTCCAATCTCTGCACTTTTAGCTAGAATCCCCCAAAGTGCACTCTTAGGATGTCACGTAGGATGTAACATATGACCATGAGTGATCTTTTTAGATTTTTAGATGTTAGTTTACATTATTAGCTCATGTTCAATGAGTTTATTGGACAATTGCAGACAGTATTGTGTGATGTCCCCAGGCGGGTGCTCACGCCAGATCAGATTTCTGATGTTAATTTAGAATTTTAGCTTTATACACCATTTCTAAAAGGGAAACTGTTGCCTGAATAGTCTATTCTGCAATGTATATAAAATGAATGAACCAAGATGGAGATATGGCTGGTATACTTCCATATATTGCTGACTTACATTTATTATTAAATTACATTTTATTTTTGGCATTTATGCTATTCCCCCCATTCAAAAGAAATTTTGCCGACGTTCTTATATTTTGATAAAAAGAAACAATGATTCCACTGTAGTATATTTGTATCCAACTGAAAGAATAGTTGTTTTTTTCAGTTGAGCTATTTTAACCTTCATTTTGAAATTCACTTTGAATTCTCACTCTAATGAATAACTTAGTTTATGGAATAAGTGATTTATCCCCCAGAGCAGTTCCACGGCTTAGGATGAGAAGAACAACGTTGTAAACTGGCAGTCATAACACAGTTGCTACCGTGTTCACTGTTTGGAGAGCCGAGCTATGTGTCCCAATCAGCAGAGCATCTGACAACCAATGGTGGCTGGATCAGGGGTGGCTTGTCCTCTACTTGGGATCGTACATCCAGTCTCTGGGGAGCAGCTTCACAATTCTTAATGGTAAGGACTTGCCCTCTATTCACTGGACAGGAAGATATCACCCCCTATAACTACTCCTTCCAGGCAGGTATTGACCATTCTGCTTTTTTCTTCTTCATAGCTGGTATCTCCCCTGCTCCAAAAACATTTCCTGACACTGTCTTCACAAAGTCACTTTTGGCTTTTAGGCCCATATGATCTCTGTCAGCAGGTCTGCAGACTCATGTATTGGAGCATTGGATTAAATGATCATGATGTCGCAGGCTGTAGAGTAGGTACGTAATCTCTAGAGCAATCCCGGGCCATGGGGTCTTCCAGTGTATCAGTCATAGAGTAAATTAGTGGATAGCATGGAGAAGCCAGGATAGATTCAGTGATATCCTGTTTCAGAATGTTGTAGATATTATCCATTAAGCTAATTGATGTAAATACACCATTTAGAATGAAATCTTCTGAAAGTGTAGCAATCACGGAGAATTTCATTGAGTAAGAAGCTTGATGCTTAAATCTGGCTCGATTTATTTTTGCTTTTGTTTTTTGTGTTTCAGGATGTTGTAGATTTTATCCATTGAGCTAATTGATGTAAATACACCATTTAGAATGAAAATCTTCTGAAAGTGTAGCAATGACGGAGAATTTCATTGAGTAAGAAGCTTGATGCTTAAATCCGGCTCGATTTATTTTTGGTTTTTTTTGGAGGGGAGGTTGTCTCACATGTGAGTGGCAATTGTTAATTAATTTGCATATAGGGCTCTGACTGGTCATTTCCAGAAAGCAGTTGTGAAATTCTTTTGAAAATATAAAAAAGACAACCAAATATGAAAAAAAAAATCATAGCTAATTATATTTGCCTTGTTAAAAATAACACAAGTCCATCATTAATTGTGTAATGCCTGTATCTGAATGTGGCAGAAATAAGCCAATTCCTCTGACTATTTTGGGCTATGCCAGAGTTATACGTAGTAATTATAGAGAGGTAGTGTGGTTTTTAATGCAGGACCCACGGGCTCACATCGCAGACATCCTGCCTTTAACGTTTGTCTCCATCCTGTCCTTCAACCACTTTTCACACTTTGCAGAGTTATCTAAATTTATTACAAACAAGAGAATAGGACCATTATTTATATATATTGGTCTTGTTTTCTGTTGCAGTATGTATTTATATGTTTTGTTTACTTGTTTTTTTGTTTGTTTTTCAAAGATATTCCAAACTATCTCTATCTCTTTGTCTTCAGTTCTCTATTTCATTAAGTCAGGCATCCGCTAATTTGTTTTACTTATTTACTTCAAATATTAAAGGATCACTATACTGTAAGGAAAACAAACCCGTTTTCCTGACACTATGTCATCCTTGGGGGTCAGTCACCCTCAGGGTCTGCCTCCCTTGGCACTGAAGAGGTTAAAACCCCTTCAGCAGTTTACCTTAATCCAGCGCCAGGCTCCCTCGGCGCTGGTGACCTCTCCTCCCCCGCCAACGTCAGCTCCCGAGTGGAGTGGAATGCGCATGCACGGCGAGAGCCGCATGCACATTCTAACAGTCCATAGGAAAGCATTTTTTAATGCTTTGCTATGGACGTTCTGCACGCTGTATGCGAATTTCGCATCCAGTGTTGCAGAAGCGCCTCTAGCGGCTTTCAGGAATACAGCCACTAGAGGTTGTATTGATCCTGCAATTTAAACATAGCAGTTTCTCTGAAGAGTTAAAACCCTTGGGACCTGGTACCCAGATCACTTCATTGAGCTGAAGTGGTCTGGGTGAGTATAGTGTCCCTTTAAGGATAGACAGATAGATAGATAGATAGATAGATAGATAGATGTTTGCTAAGCAGGGCCCTCAACCCCTCTGTTCCTGTGCGTCCAATTTGTCTGGTTACAATTGCATATGATACAGATATTATAGGTGGTGCTTAAAGGAAATATAAGGTGCAGCTAAATTACCAAAGTATATTGTCACCACATATACTTAAAAACCGAGATATAGTGTAGAAATCAAAAGGTAAAAGCGCACACACAATACCAGAAGAGTGTTACCTGTAATATATACAGTTATGGTAACCAATGGTAGATGTTCCTGGTATATAGTTGTAAAGGGCGTATATGATGGTATATGTTACCTATACAAAGATATAATCAAACAGCAAAAACATAGTGTAGTCTGTATAAAATATAATAAAGGTAAATATTGAAGAGCTGAAATCACTCACAATTTGTTGAGCCAATTGAAAGTTGGCTCAAAACTTATACAGCATGCATGTCTCATCCATGGACATAGATTAAATTTTCCTTTGGATGGACTCTCTGAATATTCACGAACCAGGGATTTGGAGTAAAGAAAAATTCTTCCTTTGGATAAATTCTCTGATTGTTGCCCAATCTCATATAATGAGATATAAAGTTAGGAACCAGAAGTAGGAAATATACTTTTTAAAAAAAGTATTTCTTTACATAAATAAAATAAAAATATGCACAACGCGTTTCAACCACTAATGTGTGGTCTTCCTCAGGTGCTGGTCAACATCAAAGTGAACATAGAAACAATTTATATAGGGTACAACATTAATAATACAATTAATTGCACATGTGAAAAAGGTGACACCCATTTCCTTATTTGGTCACAACCGGATGTGCATCGCCACCTCCAATATGGCTGCACATCCGGTTTTGGACACATTTTGGGTGCCATCTTGGTATCCCCAAAATATAAACCATCCGAAGAGAGAAAAGGCAATTATAAATATAGATGTCCATACATATATAAATTACCTTCTTAGCAAAGACAACAACAACAAGATAAATAGCCTGTTGGTGTCTATGCTGTTCGAAGGATACATAGAAAGGCCACATTCAGTCCGTAACGTCACTTCCGGTGACTAATTGATCCGTCCGTCGCGTTACTTCCGGTTTCGCCAGATCATTAAGGGATGTATCTTTCTTCCTTCCGTACTTGTAGTAGTCCATATGTTATAGTCTTTATACTCCGGTGAAGGCAAAGATGCAATTTTTAAACGTGGTAAACCAAGTCCCATATTGAGTAGTAATAATATGTAAAGATGTATAAAAAGAAACAAGAGTAAGTATAATTATCTTCACATAAAAAACATTCCAATAAATTTTAGATCAAATGTATATATATATATAAAAGATATACAATTAAAAGGAGAAAAAGAAAAAAGTGCCTATAGTCACAATAAATGAAATGCCTCACTAGAAAACATATAAAAGAAAAACAAACATGTCAAAACCATATCATATAACAAGTTCAAAAAAGAGAGATCTCAATAAAAATATAATCTAAAAAAGGGGTAGTAAAATAGATATAAAAACGAAAAATGTCTGTTAGTCCACCCATTGTACAGCTGCAGAATTTGTTGGCACTTTGTAAATAATAAAATAATAATGATCGATGATAGATGGATGGATGGATAGATAGATATTGCACCGGGAGGGAAGGTATACAATAAAAATAAGAGAATGGATGAGAACAGGAGAAGCTTGATACAAGGCATGCAAATAGTGATGTGAAACTTGAATGTTTTATTACCTGAGATCTGAGAAGATCTCATTCTTGAAATTCACATCCATAATATGTTATTGGTTTGGCCGAAATTACTGTTGCTAGTTTAGTCATTTTAGTTTAGTTTAGTTGCTAGTTTAGTCATTTGGCTTTTTAATGTAACCATTTCAATGCCGTGTAGGTGTATTGTTCATTTTCAAGCCTGCTTTTATATAAAAACAAATCAGAGAAAGTATTTGGGAATTGCTCTTACCAGTACTTTGAGATATACCGGTATATATATATTTTTTGCCAATCTTTATTTGATCAACAATTTTGCATTAGAGAAAGAAACAATAGGGGAGACAAGATGAGTGTAGGAAGCATTCTCAGTTCACAGAACAATATGGACAGACAACAACAAATATTTACATCTCAAGGCAACGTGGACGTTCACAATTGTGCCTATTTTGGTAGGTGAGTTTAATCAGGATCTGAGCTGATTGCAGCATAGTACTGTTTAACATATAGCAATATCATACTTTTAGCCAGCTGTCTATTGAACATTACTGAACACCTTCAGTGAGACATTACTGTCAGGATTACTATTGATCCAACACGCAGTATTAATATCACACTTAGGAATAAGGATAACGTCTAACCGGACCTTAGAATGGTCGGCCTTATCGCACCAGAGAATAGTCAGAAACACAGAACGAAACACAGTTGCAAGGAATAGCCAATAGTCAGGGATACCAGAATTCAGGGAAGTCAGAACGAAGCCAAAGTCAATAACCAAAGAAACACGATCAGGAATACACTCTCGGATAACCAGCAAAGGGAAACCATGACAGGGCAATCATTAGAAAAAATGAGTGAGTTTAAATATCCTTCTTGTGAATCCGATTGGCTGTATCCGGCCTTTGACCCCAAAATGTGCGTCCTCTGTGTGATGTCAGTCGCACGTTGATGTCGCTACCATCTTGTACAGACGTGGGGCTACATAACAGTGTGAATCCGCAGTGGCCGGCATCCACTGGGATGTCGCAAAAGCCCTGTCTTGGCATAGGACCGCCGGGCAGCACTTCTCCTATTCCTGGAAAGGTGATTTTTTGTTGTGCATAGCATATGGAGAGGATGTAAACGTGATGATTACAACACGGCTATTCAGCAACAATCGCAATGTCCGTAATACAAACCTTTAAACAATCACAGTAATTTGCAATTCAACATACTCCATTGTCATATTCATATCCGGGGTGTCTGTGAATGAGGGGTGAAAAAGAGAGAAAAAAGAATAAGTTAAAGAATGCTGATCAGCCTGCTTCCGTCAACACCCACAAGCTCCACTTGCCTCCCTTGGTTATTATATGGCTAATGAACAGATGTGGTCCCTGTCTCAGGAATCGTACAACCCTTGGCAAGAGACCACCGGCTAGGTTCTTATTATGTGTTAGTGTTAGGGCCTGGAGTAGGGGAAATTTGTGTGGATCTCTGAGCAGAATTCTGGAGCATGGGTGGGGATCCCTCAGTTTATGATATGGTGGTGATCTACAACGAGGTAGGGAGAGGGGTACGAGAGCATGCCGCATCCAGTACTGGTCATAGTTTCACGGCCAGGGATATATGCCACTCCCTGATATACTGCAGAGCAATGTCCAGGTGATATCTGTACACGTACGGCAAAGCCAAACCTACAATTACTCATGGCAAGCATAAAATGTCATATCAAAGCCAAGACTTCTCTCCCCACCAAACATACGCAATCAGTGTGGATTGCAAGCTCTTAAAATCACTTTGGAAATGCAAGGATCATCTGCAAGACAATCTTCTGGAACAGGTAAAGAAGTCTGGGCAGGACATTCATCTTTAAGACCGATACCATGCAGAGTCAAGAGAGATAAGGGAATGTCCAGCGCTTAAGGTCTTGTTGAATTGAATGAAGAAGTTATATGTGGTTTCTCTGATAGAGCTTATGTGGATCAGGTGTGATCCAGACCCGAAGATATTTCATCTGATCTCTGCACCAGCGGAAGGGGAACAGGGAGAGTAACTCCACCACTTCCTGATTGGGGACTGTGAGGTTAAGCACCTCAAACATAGATAGGTTTAATTTTAGATTGGACAGGTGGCCATAGACCTCGAACTTTGACATAAGGTTGGGGAGAATCTTTGAGAAATATTATGCAGCAGTTACAAGGTTTTAAAGCTAAGCATATTCAAAACTATTAAAGGGACTAAGTATCAAAAAAAACTTTCATTTGAGAAAAGGCCGTGCTTACATTGCTGCCGAACTTCAGGACCAACTTTTTAGACACTGAACGCTCCTCATAGAGATACATTAACTCAATGCATCTCTGTGAGGAGATGCTGATTGGTGCAGTGCATGTGCGGTAGCCTGGTGATTGGCTGAGATCACCAGAATTGATCATCTCAGCCAGCAGAGACAGAACGGCTTTGGCAAAACCAATGCGCCTGGGGAAATAAGGTAGGTAAAAACACTTTTTTATTAATTAGTTTAACACTCTAGCATTATTTGTATTCCTAATACTATAGGGTTCCAGTAACTGTTTATCAATTTTATCTATGCTTTGTCAAAATAAGGATTTACAAAACCAAACAAGCAAAACATTAAAAAGGGAACTGCCACTTCTCTAGAATTTACACCAATTAAAAAAACATTGAAAATTAACTGCAACTTGTGTTAAAGGGACTCTCCAGTGCCAGGAAAACAATCCATTTTCCTGGCACTGCAGGTCCCCTTTACCTCCCACTTCCCAATCCCCGGTTGCTGAAAGGGTGAAAACCCCTTCAGTCACTTACCTGAGACCCCCGCCGATGTCCCTTGGCGGTGGTTTCGGATTGCCGCCGATCCTCCTCTTCATTACGTCGTCCGGTGGGCGAGATTGATCCCGCCGGCCGCGGAGACCTAATGCGCATTAGAGCTCTCCATAGGAAAGCATTGAAAATGCGTTTTAATGCTTTCCTATGGGGCATTGAGCGATGCTGGAGGTCCTCACACAGCGTGAGGACGTCCAGCGACGCTCTAGCACAGGTTTTCTGTGCTATGGACCAGGAAGTGCCCTCTAGTGGCTGTCTAGTAGACAGCCACTAGAGGTGGAGTTAACCCTGCAAGGTAATTATTGCAGTTTATAAAAAACTGCAATAACTACACTTGCAGGGTTAAGGGTAGTGGGAGTTGACACTCAGACCACTCCAATGGGCAGAAGTGGTTTGGGTGCCTGGAGTGTCCCTTTAGTAATTTTTGATGAGATACTCTGATTTCGTCCAAATTTATATGAAAGATTTGGCATTTCTTAGTTCAGGCAAGGCACAGGGTGTCAAACATTGTGAATGAAGACAAGCAATAGAAACATTGTTTAATTTCTTCTTTTTCCATATGCAAGGTGCAGAGGACAGAGTTTATAACAATGATAGCTGGATAATGTGGTGTAGATTTCCACATTTGATTTAACGTGACGGTTCCGCTTTAACATGCAGGGAATATTGTTTTAAATTGGTTTATGTAAAGAATATAAATATTGCTATGAAGATCTTGTGTTTTCCAAAGCTTGGTTGTCATACAGTGTTAATGTCCTTGTTGCTGTTGTTTTAATCACTAACAGGATACATTCGGTAACTACAGAATCAAACAGTTCCTTCCCGTGGCCAGAGCAGGTTTTCCTTCCATGAATGTTTCGGGATGGATGATAACAAACATTTTAATAGGGGTAAATGTAATGTGTGAGCTTTATTTGTAAGCATATTTCTCGAATTTGTTAAACTATCCGCAATGAGTTTGACAATAATAGCAAAATGTGTTCTATGATCTGTGGTTGTTTATCTGGCCAAGTCACCCCTCTAGTAGGACTGAGAAATGCGTTGGTGAACAGTTGTATTACTATAACACCTGCCTTACAGATCTGGTCCTGCGTGATACCTGGCTAGTGACCTGTCTCCCAGAATCTTTATAAGTAAACTACTTACATAAAGTGGGGTAACATTCCAAATAAAGAACAATCACCATGGAAACTTATGAGATGTTTAGCTAATTTCCCTATGCCAACCCTCCCCATGGTGTTAAACCACTTTTAGAAAGTTATCTAACTTTTATTAGGAACACATTAAACCCATGTGCGTGTGTTTCAGCATTGTTCTGTCAAAAGTCAGACATGGGGAGGGGGTGGCATAGGGTTGCTAGTCAACCCAATGTCCATATTCTACAGATTAACACCCTCCTCGCCCCACGCCCTATCTCAATAATACACCTCCCAATGCTAGAAGGTTTGCAATCTGTTTTCCAGATTTCAGGACTTTATTGAATTTAAATATGTGCAATTAAGTGAAAACACAATGTATAATGAAAATGGACAAAAAATAAATAAATTAGGCATCAAGTACATTTCAATTAACATGTTTATTTAAAGAATAAAACTTTGAGCAAACCATATTGACAATTGTAGCCTTATCAACAACTATTGAATCTGGATTTACTGTACTCTATATCTAATAAACACAAAGGGATTAGAAAACAGCGATTTTAAATGTGAAATCCACTCTAGGCACCAAAATTACTACAGCTTAATATATTGGTTCTGGGGTATATAGCCTGTCCCTTCAGAGAAAAGGCAGTGTTTACATTGCTGCCTAATATCATGTCTAGCGGCTGTCACACATCTAGTGGCTGTCACACGTCTAGCGGATGCCACTAGAGGGGCTTACTGGTTGAGGTCCAACAAAGATTGCAGGACCTTCGTTCAGCATCTCCATACTTTGCATGGAGACACAGAATGCTCTGAGAAATGCAATGAGTTGCCCTATAGGGAACCATTAGATTGGCTGAGATCATCAATGTTAGTGATCTCAGCCAGTGGATATGCGGCGACCACGCTGGGAATATTAGGTAAGTAAATATCTTTATTTTTGCTTAATTTAGGCGGGCCTGGTCATCTACCTTGGTGTTGGTAGCATTTTTTGTAGTAGTTGGGCCACAAGACCACCAAATGTGTAGCATTGTTCCCACCCCCTCCCACACCTCCAGCATTTGTTGCTGGTGTTGGGCCACAGCTTGTGCAGTT